AGGGGGGGGGGTCCCGAAAAAAAAAAAAAAAAAAAAAAAAAAAAATATATATATATATATATATATATATATATATATATATATATATGCAAAATGTAAGAAGATAAGATAAATTGGTGGGGAAATCTGATGGAAGGAAAATAAAGCCAGAGGTGAGATTCGTGCGCAAAATGCATAGTTCCACGCATTTGAGTGTGATGAGCCTAGATTTGGATCTGCGCCTCCTGGTGGTCACCGTGAGCAAGGACACACGGCCAAGGATGAGGTTCTCTGTGGGTACCACACAGCATCCGGTGTGAATTATATGTCGGGAAGAACAGTTTCCTCATGACGCTGGAGAAGACTGTCTCTTTGATACCCACATTTGGGCATTTCTTCAGCTGATGGAGCATTGAGGGGCCTTTCTTAGTTGGTGTGGATACACTGCTCATTGTCCAGGTGAGCGAGTAGAGTCTCCCAGTTCCTGCACTTAACAGCAGAGACCACACTCAGAAGGGGTGGGAGTTAAAAGCCAGACATAGAAAGACACTGGGAATCCTGGGGAAGAGACGATGGGATGGGGAGAGGTATTTTTCCAGAAATTTTTGGATGTTTTCTTTTAACTTTTTCAATAGTTCTAATGTTTATTTCAAGAAGAGATCAAAGTTATTGATCTCAAAGGAAGCTCTCATCTCCAAGGTTTTGCTGTTTATTTCTAAGCTGGTAACAGTCTAAGAGAAGAAATATTATAAAAGGGAAGGTTGAAAGCAAGCACATTGTTAAAATATCATGTGTGTGTGGAATAGGTGCACTTTAAAAAAAACCTGTAAGGTCAATAAAGACAGCTTACTTTGGTCCATTGAACAAAGCAGAGAATCAGGCTTACCCACTGGGTTTGGGAGATCCAGAGAGGCAATCCAGGACTCCCGGGACTCCGGTTCTTTTCCAGTCTCCAATCCTGGACGTCATTAGCCAGCTGACGAAGTCCAAAGCCTCTCAGGCAGTCTTAGCACTGAGGATAGGATGTGTCCTCACATTTACTCCCAGAGACTAGAAGGTTCTTTCCTGGCTCTTGCCATGGACCAGCTAGTCTCTGGATTTGTCTCTGACGGAGCATCCTACCAGCTGGGGAATGTCCTCAGGCCCTGCAGCCGCTGCTGACTGTAGTTCTCACTGGCCTGCTGGCTGTCCTGGAGCCTGACTGTGGGCCTGGGCACATCCTCATAGCCTTTTTGGTCTCATCCTCATAGCCTTTTTGGTCTCATCCTCCAGCTTGACTGCCTTCTGGCTCTCATCCCCTCCCTCTCTCCCTCACTGCCCCATCCTTGGCTCCATTTGGACCATGGGAACCCTCCAGCCCCCATATAGCCCCCATACAGACCCAATGCAGCCCCAGTGCAGCCCTCTTCAGAGCCCTGGATTGGTACCTACCAGTGCAGGTCCATGCTTTATAGGTGTGTCCTCCAGCTCATCCCCTGGTACTGAGGTCTCAATCCTCATTCCACATCTGAGGTTTGAAGTATTTTATTCTCATCCAAGCACTATGGGAAAGGTCAGTATGGAAACCTTTGGTGGAGCGTCAGTAGAAATAGCATATCCTGCTCTGATAAAATGTTAAGATTCTGTGTGGATGGCCCTATTTGATTAATGACAATATGGTCTACAGATAAAGCTTTTACCTTGGTTTCCACATTCCTAATTAATACATATTTAACTCACTGAATATGTTGAAAGTTACTATTGTGTTCTAAGAAATATTTATGCATGAAATAATTTTTTCTGTCCGTCTTGGGGAGAACAATAAGGAAATGTTTGTTTCCGTTATTTATTTCCCATATTCATAGCCTGTAGCTTTGTGCGCTGGGATCATACATATTCCCAATAGCTCACTAGACCCTGCCAGAATGCACAAACCTCAAACCATCTCTTCTGGATTTTGGCCTTGGGATTCAGGCTTCTGATTTATTGTGATTTTTGTTTCTAGACAATACTTCAAGGTCTGCTGCTAGGAACCATGTCAGTGTAAGTCTTTGATACACATTTGTGTGTGTGTGTGTGTGTGTGTGTGTGTGTGTGTGTGTGTGTGCTTTTCTTTGAATGTTATGTGAGCAATAATCACAGTCTCTGGTTTTAGTTTCTATAATGCCGAGGAAGTGTTATGGGCAACAGCAGCAACCGCTCTAGTGACGATATCACTCGCTTTATTTGCTCTTCAAACAAAAGTACATATTACTGAAGCAGATTTCTGTCATAAGGGAGTGTGTGAATATGTTTCTTTGCCCCTGCTGACCCATTCTGCTCCCTCCTCCCTCGGGCTCTCGGCTTTCTGTGGGCCTCACCTCCATGGAGTCCTTGCCTTCAGGCTTCTGGCTTTCCTAGTAACCATGTTTAAAAAGTAAAAGGAGACAGGTAAAAGTAGTTTTAATAATATATTTCATTTAACCCAGTATATGTGAAGTGTTATCATTTCGACATGTAATTAGTATAGCAAAAATATTAATGAGATACCTTACATTCTTTATTTCGAAATTCAAATCCAGTGTGTATTTTATACTTGCAGCAATCTCAGTTTGAACTAACTGCATTTCCAGTACTCAGTAGCCAAGTGTATTGAAAGCACAGCTCTAGACAAACTTTCTTAGCAGGCATCAGAGTCACCCGGAGAGCATGTGAAACACAGAATTCACTCCTGGAGTTGCTGCTTCACAATGTCTGGCATGGGGGCCAATAATTTACATTTCCCAGGCGCTGCTGATGCTTCCGGCCTGAGAACCAGACTCGGTGACCTGGTAGATTATTCTCTTGGTGTGGTAAGGGTAGGGAGTGAAATAGGAAAAATAGAGGAATTAGGAAAACACTCTTGCAAGAAAATACCTTGGATTCTTTTGCTTCCTAATCCATTTTTTTTTCAGGCCAGAAGACGAATATTCCTATTTCTTTAAAAAAAATTCTAATCTTCCCTAGGCTGACTTGGTTACTGATTTATAGAAGCAAAACCAAAAAGCATATTAATATGTATAACTGACTCACTCTGTTATAAAGCAGAAACTAACACACCATTGTAAAGCAATTATACCCCAATAAAGATGTAAAAAAAAAAAAAAAAAAGCATATTAATAAATTTTAAGATTACAAAAGAATAATTAATAGTAATTTTTGAAAGCTTAGTATATGTATTTTTATTGGAATATATACATACAAATGTAAAAAAGGTACCCAGTTAACATCTTTGTCTATTTAATTCCATTAATATAGTCTATGCTTATGCTTTTAAAAATATGAATGATTATGATCATACTATACTTACAAATTTACATCCTGCTTATTCAGTGTACATTTTTTATTAGGGAAAATTTTATATAGATACAAAGATAGAATAGTTTAATAAACTCCCATGTGCCCATTACCTAGTTTCAAAAATTATCAATTTGTGGCTCCTGTTATTTCATCCATATCCTACCCTTTTCTCCCTCCTGAAGAAACACAACACTTTTTATGTAGCATTTTTCAGTGCTTAGGGGCTAATGGATTTCCATGGTTCTTGGGATTAGCCAGAGGAAATTATTAGCAAATGGGCCAGTTTCTGTCTAGCGGGTACACGATGCATCTCTAAACACCTTGAAATTGCTTATGGATGATAATTTAATTGGTTTTGTGTTGTTTCCTCAGTGCGATTTCACCTTGCTAAATGGAATGCTGTTTGTTTTACTCTTCGTACTTATTACCTATGGAACTCTCTTAATCTTCATACGATCATATGTAAGTGGGATCTCCTTTGTAAACCTCAGAGAATTGTTAGAATATAGGGTGAAGTGCTGGTTGTGTTGCTGGTCTGGATCCTCTGAGAAGCAGACACCAGATGGGTGAAACTTGCAAGGACTGCGATAGGAGAAATGTCTGTGGGAGAAAAGTGTGGCGGCAACGAAGGCTGAAAGAGCTGTCAGACCACGACAGCATATGTGACCCCAGGTTCAGGAGAGGGAAGGAAGGTGGGAGCACTCTGGATGTGGTGCCATCAGGGGCTCCTGGAGCTAATGTGGACCATTACAGCAGTCCAGGGTCTCCCAAGAAGGTCCTGCTGCCCCCACCAATGGCTGAGATAGGAAAGCGTGACCCAGGAGCAAACTACAGTGGGTTGCACCACACAGCCACCGGGCCCTGGTCAGTTACATGGCCCTCCCCGTAGCTGGAGGTCTGTGAGGCCACCTGCTGCACCAGATGTGGTAGGGGACCACTGACAGGAGGTCTGGGCATGAAGATTGAGCTCCGACCCTAGGCGACAGCTGCGCTCCCCTGAGAGGATCTTGGGGTGAACCACTGACAGACCCCTGTTCTAAGTATGTCCAGCCTTGCTGGACTCTGGCAATTTTGAATCCTTCAGACTCCAGTTGTCAGCTGTTTTCTTACACCTAGCTCAGTCTGGAAACACTGCCTCCTTCTCTGTGTCACTGACTCCTGATTTCTCTCTTTCCCCGAGAACCTTCCCTGGTTAGCAGAGTGCTCCCCATGCCTCTAGGACTAGCTTTCTCCTCCTAAAGAGTGAACACCACTATGCTTCTCAGATGTTATACACCACTTCCTTTTGCTCTCCTACAGCCAAACCCTTTGGCATTTAGGCCAATTTGTCACATATTCTGATCAGGGCTGTTCTGGTTGCAAGGAACACATACCCCTCAGACTAGGTCAAGGCAAAGACCCAGAGACTGTCATGGAGCTCCTAGGTGGGAAGAAGAGCCAGAATTCACGGAAAAGGAAACCCCACCTCCCTTTCTTGAACTGAGGTGATTGGCCATCTCTGCTTGTGAAGTAATATCTCCAGCACTAGCTAATGACAAAACTGCTGCCTGGATTCCTCTATCCTGAGAATTGATTTCTAACTGGCCTAGAGCATCTGTTTGATCCTGGTCACAGGTAAGAGGCTCTTGGTCGGTCAAGAGATTCACTGCTGTTGGAATGTTATCATCCACCTCTTGTCAATCAGCTCTAGCAAGGCTGTGTGAGGGTCACTATGTTCCCTGATCTGAGGGGAGGGCACATTCTCTTTTTTTTTTTATTATTATTATTATTTTTTTAGATGTTGGGGGTAGGAGTTTTTTTTTTTTTTTAGTAATTTATTTATTCATTTTTGCCGTGTTGGGTCTTCGTTTCAGAGCGAGGGCTTTCTCTAGTTGTGGCAAGAGGGGGCCACTCTTCATCGCGGTGCGCGGGCCTCTCTTGTTGCGGAGCACAAGCTCCAGACACGCAGGCTCAGTAGTTGTGGCTCACGGGCCTAGTTGCTCCGCGGCATATGGGATCTTCCCAGACCAGGGCTCGAACCCATGTCCCCTGCATTAGCAGGCAGATTCTCAACCACTGCACCACCAGGGAAGCCCAGGGCACATTCTCTTGAAGAACTATGTGGATGGGGCTTGCTGAATGGAATTGAGTGGATGCCGTTGACTATGTTCAAGAAAAGATTCTCTCCACAGCTTTGACTTTCTTAATATCTTATCTAACAGCAGTGACCTAAGTGATCCCCTGAGTTGTTCCAAGTCTTACTCTTAATATACAGTTGTTTTCTTTCTTTTTGCAGTGGTTGCATCTATTGTATGCTGGACTTGGAACTGTGATCTTCTCACTCGTAAGTGCATTTCTCCCTTTCTTTGACAAAGAGTATGGTATGTGCATTGATGGGGCCCTAAGCCCTCTGCTAGGCCTGGAGTCAAGTGGAGTCAGTAATTCACTGGAAAGCTCTCCAGGTCACTTGCTCCTTCCTCTGTCTTCTCGTCCTCCTCCTCCGCCTTTTTATTTTTTATAAAGACAATTCTTTTTAGAGCAGTTTTAGGTTCTTAGTAAAACCAAAAGAAGAGTACAGAGATTTCCCATATACTCCAGCCTCCATACATGCATGGCCTTCCCCATTATCAATATCCCCCACCAAAGTGGTACATTTATTACAATTGATGAACCTACATTGACATATCATAATCACCCAAAGTCCGTAGTCTACATTAAGGCTCACTCTTGGTGTTGTACATTCTATGGGGTTGGACAAATGTATAATAATATGTATTCATCATTGTAATATCATACAGAATATTTTCACTGCTCAAAAAATCCTCTTTGTTCTACCAGTTGATCCCTCCCCATCCCCAACCCCTGGCAACCACTAATCTTCTTACTGTTTCCAAGTTTTGCCTTTTCCAGAATGTCATAGAGTAGGAATCATACAATATGAAGCCTTTTCAAATTGGCTTCTTTTACTTAGTATTTGCACTTAAGATTTCTCCATGTCTTTTCATGGCTTGGTAGGTCATTTCTTTTTAGTGTTGAATAATATTCCACCATCTTAATGTACCACAGTTAATTTATTCATTCACCTACTGAGGTGCATCTTGTTTGCTCTCAAGTTTTGGCAATTATGAATAAATCTGCTATAAACATCCATGTGCAGGTTTTTGTGCGGACAGATGATTTCATCTCCTTTCGGTACATACCAAGGAGCATGTTCACTGGATCATACAGTAAGAGTATGTTTAGTTTTGTAAGACTGTATTCCAAAGTGGTTGTAATACTTTGTATTCTCACTAGCAGTGTATGAGAGTTCCTGTTGCTCCATGTCCTCACCAGCATTTGGTATTGTCAGTGTTCCAGAATTTGGCCATTCTAATGGGTGTGTAGTGGTATCTTATTGTAATTTTTTGTGTGTGTGGTGCACAGGCCTCTCACTGTTGTGGCCTCTCCCGTTGCGGAGCACAGGCTCCGGACGCACAGGCTCAGCGGCCATGGCTCACTGGCCCAGCCGTTCTGTGGCATGTGGGGTCTTCCTGGACCGGGGCACGAGCCTGTGTCCCCTGCATCGGCAGGCAGACTCCCAACCACTGTGCCACCAGGGAAGCCCACAAATACTTTTTTTTTTTTGCAGTACGCGGGCCTCTCACTGTTGTGGCCTCTCCCGTTGCGGAGCACAGGCTCCGGACGCACAGGCTCAGCGGCCATGGCTCACTGGCCCAGCCGCTCCGTGGCATGTGGGATCTTCCCGGACCGAGGCACAAACCCGTGTCCCCTGCATCGACAGGCGGACTCTCAACCACTGCGCCACCAGGAAAGCCCTTATTGTAATTTTAATTTGCATTTCCCTGATGACATATGATGTAGAGCATCTTTTCATATGCTTACTTCCCATTTGTATATCTTCTTTGGTGAAGTGTCTGTTAAGTTCTTGGGCCCATTTTGTAATCAAGTTGTTTGTTTTCTTATTGTTGAGTTTTAAGAGTTCTTTGTATATTTAGGAGAACTGTCCTTTATCAGATATTTCTTTTGTAAATATTTTCTCCCAGTCTGTGCCTTGTATTATCATTATCTTCACATTGTCTTTCACAGAGCAGACATTTTTAATTTTAATGAAGTCTAGTTTATCCACTATTTCTTTCATGGATCATACTTTTGGTGTCATATCTAAAAAAATCATCACCACACCCAAGGTCATCTAGGTTTTCTCCTATGTTATCTTCTAGGAGTTTTACGTTTTACATTTAAGTCTATGATTCATTATGAGTTATTTTGTGAAAGGTGTAAGATCTGTGTCTAGATTCATTTTTTTGGCATGTGGATGTCCAGTTGTTTCAGCACCATTTGTTGAAGAGACTATGTTTACTCCGTTGTATTGCCTTTGCTCTTTATTCTGTCCTGTTGATCTATTTGTTTAGTCTTTTCTTCAGTACCACACTATCTTGATTACTGTAGCTTTATAGTAAATCTTGCCGTCTGGTAGCATCAGTCCTCCAACTTTGTTCTTTTCCTTCAATATTGTATTGGCTATTCTGGGTCTTTTGTCTCTCCATATAAAGTTTTGTCTCTCCATATGGTTTGTCAATATCCACAAAATAACTTGCTGGGATTTTGATTGGGATTGTGTTGAATCTATAGATCAAGTTGGGAAGAACTGATATTTTGGAAATATTGAGTCTTCCTATCCACAAACATGGAATGTCTCTCCATTTATTTAGTTCTTCCTTGATTTCATTCATCAGAGAGTTATAGTTTCCCTCATATAGTTCTTGTACATATTTTGTTAGACTTATACCTAAGTATTTAAGTTTTTTGGATGCTAATGTAAATGGTATTGTGTTTTTAATTTCCAATTTCACTTATACATTTCTGCATATAGGAAAGTAATTGACCGTTGTATAGTAACTCTGCATCCTACAACCTTGTGATAATTGCTTATTGAACCCTCAGATGCTCCTGGGGCTTCTAATCCTGACCAGGGCTTCCCTGTGGGCTAGCTGTCTCTTGCATGGTGTCCTGAGCCCTCTTCCCCTGGGGTTGGGGGGCAGACAGCTGGATCCCAGCTCACCTTACTCTCCCACTTTCCTGTCTGCCTTCAAAAACATAACCTCACCTGTGAGGTGCACTCCTAACTGCCAGTACATGAAATGATTAGGAGTCATTATCTCTCTTGTAAGAAGAAATAAGATAAAGTCAGGGGTTCTTGGAGGGGAGGAAGAAAGAAAAGCACTTTTCCACAGAAGGACTCCAGGGTGACAGATGGAGGCTAAGAGCAAGGCTGGAAGCTCAGCTGCTGGAGGCCTTTTTTAAAGGATGACCAACTGTCCTCGTTTCCCTGGGACTGAGGGGTTTCTCAAGACACACAAAAGTCCTGGGCAAACTGGAATGGTTGGTCATTCTAGCTTTTTCTGCCACAGAGTTACTGGAATCAGACATAGGGAGAGGGAGGATAAGTGGGAGGGGACTTAGTGGTCCAGGTGAAGCAGCCGCTTTGGCAACCCCCAGACTTGGGTTTGACTCTCTTCTCTGCCACCTGCTACAGTGTGATCTTCCCTTCTTGGAGGCTCTGTTAACCTCACCTGCCTCAACTGGGTCATTCCCATATTACATGAGATGACATCTATCATGAACTGGTATGAGGCTACCCAGAAGGTGCCCCATTCTTTTCCTCCTGTTTCTTTCCTCCCTTCCTCCTCATTCTTAGAAGCCTGAGTGGGAACCAGGACGCAGGGAGAGCTGATACCTGAATTACTTGGGACAGGTTTCCCTGTAGTGGATGTTGTTTTAAAATGGATTATTTTAAAGAGTTTTTAAAACCCCAAGAATTCTTTGTAATGCCAGGGTTGACCTGTCTGATGCGGTTCTGCCTCACAGCACTAGACTCTTAGTCTACAGTCTGGATATAAAGACCTGAGGAGCCACTTGTTTTCTTTTCCTCCTTCTAATGCACTTGTGGGGCCCACATCTGCTCACTTTGCAACAAACACAAGGGTGAGAGGGCTCTCTAACTTTTTTTCTTGATGCTTTAGAAGCTCATAATTTTACCTACCACAGCTGAGCTTAAACATTTAATTGGGTGTTATTTAACCATATATGAGTCTTCTCATTCTATTTTGGAAATACTGACATCGTCACAAAGCCATCTCCAATGTCAAGTTTTGAAAAATGCTATCACCCAAAGGAAAGTTCAGAATTATTGCTGTGGGTGAATCTAAATGTTGGGGAACCATCTTTATTTTCATTCTTTTTTTCAGTGAGAACATGTGGGGAAATCACAAACACAGGGCATTTTGTAGTTTCTCTCTGTGTCCAATCTGCCCACCTGGTCTACATCATTGGCTAAAGGCACAGAGCTTTCTGGACTTGGAAGGAAAGGAAAGTAAGGCTCACATATTTGGTCCCACTGGCTTCAGGAGAATGAAACACTTGCTTTAATAGATAAAGCACAAACTTGGGGACATCATGAATGATTGAGGCTGTAAGAATAATACCTATAGCCACAAATTTACTCTCTGTGATATAGTTACCGATGGGAAATAATTTTTCCAGATAATTTTAGGATACTTACTTGATAGAAATGTACAATTTAAGTAGCTAATTCTTCTTTCTTTTCTTTAAGTACTTGGTGATGGATGTACAGCTGATGGTGGGAGGGTGCCATCATCATTCTGACCTGGACCCTGAAGAGTATGTTTTTGCTGCCCTGAACATCTACATGGACATAATCAACCTTTTCCTTTTTATTTTGCAACTGATTGGACTGGGACGGTAGTCATACGGCCAAGGCTGGCTCGGGCTGAAAAGAGGGAAGGAGGAACGCCTGTGAAGACATACAGAGGTTACCACACCATTACCCCTTCTATTTTAAAATACTTAATTTTTTTGTCAAATGACAGTGAGCATTCAGTAAATGTTAGCTGTAGCTGTTATATATTTTTAGTTCCACTGTCACATTGCAAAACTTTCTGGCGGACGTTTCTGATTTTTATAAATTCAAAAGGTGAGTTACATAACTACACACTTACAAACATTTGTAAGATGCTCATTACTTTGTGGACGTTTTCCAGGCACTATTTAAAGCTGTAATCAACATCCCTCTACATGAATAAAATTGATTACAGAAACCCATATTTACTCCATCCTCTTCTCTTGATTTGGACATTTGGTGGGAATATTTTGGCATCTGACTTTTTTTAAGAGTAAGAGAAACTATAAAGAATTCTGCCTTTCTCTTGGATTCCAGAGTCGGACTGGAGAAGTAAATTCTATCTTGAGAGATCTCTTTGTTTCTATCTCAAAGTATCTGTGTGCTCCAAGTGGAGCCTTTTGGGTCTGAACCACTTCAGTGTCTGGCAGGAAGATAAGAAGGGGCCATTTCCAGCAATGGATGAATTGTGCAGGGGGGAGGATGGGGAAATTAGATGAACTCTTCTGGTCTCTCTAGTATTTATCATAGAGCTTTATTTCAAAACTTAACTGAACATACGGATCTCAAGTAAGACATATGGACCTAAGTACAAACAATATAGTCACATACATCTACCTGACTTTTTGATTACATATTTCAGATTAGCCATATCTCCACTATTTTAGTAGAGTTTCTTTATTGTGTTTATGATCTCTTATTACTACCAGTAAAATCCTGAAGATGGGCGTAACCTCTGAAATGTGAGCAAGTGGAAGAGAAAGGGACTTTTCAGCCACCCAGCAAAAAATCTAGGAGGACCCTCTAAAGCTCCTGAGTCAGGATATCTTAAAAAACATCACCATCTGTACATACACCTGCCAAAGTCATGGTGAATTAATTCCATACAAGAAAGCAAATTCAGCTGGGAAGCTTGAGATTTTGCATATTCTTTTGGCATCAAGACAACCTTCCTGCATATAATAGGGACACACTGGCCAATTTACTTCTCCATTGAAGTTTCTGCCATCCCCACACCACATTAGGCATTTCTCTTGTCTCAGCAATGCTCCCAACCACACACAGCCCACTGTGAGTCTATTGTATGTGCCATCATATAGCAGTGCTGGCTTGATTAAAAGAAATTCTACTGCTTCTATGACAACCTTTTGATTTCTGCATTTAGTAAGGACTCTGAGCAAGACATACCTTTTACGGTCAGTCTATCAAATGAGTAGATTACTTTGTTCTCAATGACAGAAATTCACCTTTTGAGAAGAGTCCACGATTTGAAAATCTGTCAGGAGTGGTCCCAAATCCAGTGATGGGTAGCACATCTGTAAATCAATCCAAGATGTCCATAATGGGGCAATCAAAACTTAAAGAAAAAGAATCCATAGAAAAATTTAGGTTATACTTTCTATAATGCTCACAAATCCTGGGCCTGTAATTTACTTTTTTCTTATCCCAAATGGGTATTCCCTCATCCAGCTTTAGGCATGGTTTGCTGAGCAAATCTATCTATACACAAGTGGACCCTAGTGAAACCACTCATGTTAAAGGCTAGTAAGCAGTTAGCCATGGCCTTTTTAAAATCAGTATGCCACTTTGCACTCATAGGTTCAAAGAATATCAATGGCCAAAATGCTGTGGCATATGTTTGACATTACTATCAAGATGAATGTTGGCAGTTTCAGTATCTTTTGCTTAATCAAATTCCTTGAAACAGATCAATCAACTGCTGAAGATGTCGTCAATGGTTTCCAAGTCGTAGCACTATTGATAGCTTGTAATGCATTAACATTTATCTGATTGTTGCTGTAAAGCAAGTGTCAGCAAACATACGACACACACCAAATTTAGCCTGCTATCATTTCATTTTTTAACATTTTGCTTTGAAGTAACTATAGATTCACAGGATGTTGCAAAGATAATTCAGAGAGGCCATGTGTACTCTTTACCCAGTTCCCCCCAATGGTTATCTTACATAATGTACAATATCAAAACCAGGAAACTGACATTGGGTACAATATGTATGTATAGTTCTGTCATTTTATCACATGTAAATTCATGTAACCCTCATTGTAACCAAGATACAGACTGTTGCATCACCACAAAAATGTCCCTTTTTCTACCCCTTTATAGCCACACACATACACCTCTCTTCCCCCCAACATCCCTAACTCCTGATAACCACTAATTTGTTTCCATCACTATTATTGTCATTTTAAAAATGTTAAATGGATGAAATCATACAGTACGTGACATTTTGAGATTGGATTTTTTTCACTCAGCATAATGCCCTTGAAATCCATCCAAGTCGTTGGAATTTGTGTCACTAGAGTAGTATTCCATTGCATGGATATATCACAGTTAATCATTCCCTTACTACAGGACATTTTGGTAGATTCCAGTTTTTGGCATAAAGCTCCTATGAACAATTGTGTGCAGGTTTTTGTGGACCTAAATTTTCACTTCTCTGTGATAAATGTCTAGGAGTGCAAATGCTTGGTCATGTGGTTAGTATATGCTTAGTTTTTAAAGAAACTACTCAACTATCTTCCAGGGTGGCTATATCACTTTACATTCCCACAGGCGGTGTATGAGTGACCCAGCTTCTCTGCAACCTTGGCAGCATTTGGTGTTGACGCTACTAATTAATTTAGCCATCCCGATAGGTGTGTAGTGTCTTGCTGTAATTTAAATTTGTATTTCCTAATGGATAGTGATGTTAAACAACTTTTCATGTGCTTATTTGTTTGCCATACATCCTCTTTGGTGAAATGTTTCTTCATGTCTTTTGTCCATTTTATATTGGATTGTCTGTCTTTTGTTTAGTTTTGAGAGCTCTTTATATATTCTAGATATGTGGTTTGCAAATATTTCCTCCCAGTCTGTAGCTTGTCTTTTCACCTTCTTCATTAGGTCTTCTGCAGAACAAAGCTTTAAATTTTGATGATGTCCAATTTATCAATTTTTTCTTTTATGGATCATGCTTTTGGTATCAAGAGTACTTTTTCTTTTCCAGAATAGTTTTAGCTGTTTTAGTTCCTTTGCCTTTCCATATTTGTAGAATATTTCCAAATTTTAGAATTATCTATAAGAAAATGTTGCTGGGATTTGGTAAAGTTGCTGCCAAGCAATTGAACCAAACCCGGGCATTCTGTGAACTGAGACACCCCCCACCTCCGACTAAGCTAGTGGCTTTGCTTTAGGCAGTGAAGATATACACAAAATATCCCCCAAAGGTAGCTACTAATTTTTCATGTAGAATTAAGATACTTGCTGCTACAGTCAGGCTAGCTGTGCTCTCTAATATACCATTTGTTTGACTTGCAAGGCCTGTTGGGCCCATGTTAATTCTCCAGTGCCAGGTGACCCACCCTGAAGTGGAGATGTCACATCAGTGAGTCCCAAGGCCTCCATGGGTCAGGCATTCAGTTTCAAGAAGAGCCTAGGAGCCAGTTAATAGCTGCCTTTCTCCAAAATGGTGTACTAGGTGGCTGCGTCAGGCAGGTGGCAATGTTGTGCTGGGAAATGGCTTGAGTACTTGGGCTGCCACCAAGTCTTTAACACAAGGAATGATTTTACTTTCTCCTCTTGGAATTCTACATTGTTTCTGTTGGACCACCAGAGAGGGGACAAAGAGGCAGAATGGCGAGCGATTTATGCTCCACTCTAACCTCTCTACATGTAGCAGTCCCTACTGGGAGATGCCCCACCGATAATTATGAGACAGGTAACTGTGGGCACATAATCGTCAATTCCATTAAACATTCAGATTTGGGAGCTGCATTATATTCAATCAGCCAAAGGGCCCCACCCACAAGGGAAGCCTCCCTTCCCCTCTATGGAGTGTGTCCAAATTCCTTTCTCCCGGCTGAATAGTCTAAAGTGCGTGAGTCAGGAGCTACATACAGCAGGTGGCAAAAGGATGCCGGATCACCTTGTCCCTCAGCTGAGAGGGTAAGGAGCCCAAGAGATGGCGGAGGCAGGTCTGTGGGGAGTACACTTAATTGTTGGCCTGTTCTCCCCCCTTAGCCCCTCGCTCCAGGGCCAGTGCCTGAACACTGGCGCAAATACTTGTCCTACAACAGTGGTGACACATGTCAACATGCAGAGAGAACAGGGCCCACGGGCTTCTTTCTTCCCCACATACACCTCCGCAATTACCTGGAGTCTTTGGCACCTTCTGTCCCTCCTGCACCCAGCGCTTCATCCTCACATCCTCACTGCCGTCAGGGGTCAGGGGTCGTGGGCCAGGGCATAAGGGTAGCCTGATCTGTACTTGTGGGCAAGGCTTTGCGGGCACTTTTGCATTTGAACAGTGCTGGACTGCTTGTAGCCCAACCACATGAACTTCTCATGCTTTTGGTCCACTCAAAGCTCTCAAAGAGCAAGGTTCTTATTGCTGATGCCATTTAGTTCACATCTGGGGGCTCCCTGATTCAGCAGCCACAGCCATACTGCCTTTCAGGTAGGGCCACAAGAACTGCTGTTTTGTCATGAAAACTTTCCTTCCTGTCTGCCTGCAGGAGTTAGCAACAATTAAGGCACCATTCCCACAGGACAGCTTGTTTCAACCCTACTTCTTTTCGTTAAGCCTGTAAACATTAGCTCAACTCCTGTTCAGTAAAAGGTAGGACAGCAGGAACCCTTATCCTTCCCCCACCTCTTAGCTATCTCTTGAGTGAGAGCATTCACTACCAGACAGATTCCGGGGAGTCTTATATTCCCAAACCTGGCCCAATGGTTCCTCTTCTACAAAATCATGTCTCTTTCAGCATTCCATTCCTCGCTGCCAAAATTGTCAGGTCTGGGATTTGATTTTATCCAGTAAGTTAGCCTGTCAGAGTTTCGTGGATGCTGACAGAAGACACAAGACCCTGGGTCAGAGGCAAAGACCTTTATCACTCAGGGCACAGCATGCAGAATGAATGTCAGAATACTTGTGCCAGTTCCTCAAGTCCCCAGTTCCACAGGGGCAACACAATGGGCCTAGATGAATGCCAAGTGTGCAGGGGGTTTGTGTCGCAGCCGTGGAACAGAGTGTGAGGAATCCAACGCGTCGACAGCAAGCCTGCTCCTTGTCCTCAAGCTTACTACATAAATCCTGAGGAGTGGTCCAGGCAAAACTCTTGTCAGGCCTTGCAGTCTTGGCACCCTGAGCAAGCACATAAGAAGCCCAGGAGAACTGGACTGTCTCATCTAATAACTCTCCT